CGCAATGTTATCAAATATGTGTATTGCTAAGAAATGAAGGTCATTACATAACAGAACCACGGATTTAAGAAAAATCACGGCAACCATTTTAGCTAGTTAATGTAAAATGTTTTAGAGAATAATCTTTCATGTTTAACTACACGTCTCTTGCTTTAAAACTTTCAATTATGCGTGTAATGCCGCGACATTCTTAAATTTAGTTTTGCCATTTACATAAAGCTAGTCCTACTTTATGAATATAAAGTCAAATAATATTTCCTTATTTTCATTCCTGAGAAATAACACTTCCAAATTTTAACAGAAATGCTCAGATTTTTTCTTTTTGAAATTACAGTATAAACCGTGCAGGTAAAATCTGTGTTCCCACCCTGACAATTTATATTCCTCTTGTAAATGGTTGCATTCAGAAATCTTTGCCATTAAACAGACTAGTAGGCTTTCTTGCTCAATCCTTATGTTTATAAAGTCGGATGTAGAACGGAATCTCACCTCGTTGCACAATCCACGAAACAACCCGTCTAGTTAAAGCTCTCATTAGTGGATACCCACAGCATATCATCCGTTCATTCCTGGGAACGAACGTACGTATGTTTGCTTGAAGAGAGAGAACCCTCTGTTCATTACGTATACACAAACATACAGTAAGGATGCAATCGGGAAGTAAAAACCTTTCTCTAAACCCTACAGGCCCACACGTACAATTTTCTGTTAACGAATAGAGATGATGATAATTGTAATCAAAATGTGCGCATGTGTGTCTACGCCTTCTTTGTTAAATATGTAAATTAAAACACAGGACTTTGTGGTCTATGGTCGAATGTCTTCACATAAAGAAAGGCAGCAGAATGAACATTTCAATCCCTACATTCAAGGCAACTAAATGCAGGAAAAATAAACTCAAACCTCAAATAGAATCCTTTATTTATGGTCTCTCAGCTGTGATTCAAAATGACTGAATTTACATATGATGGACGCAAACTTCAAAAATTTGAATGAACATTTTAGATAATGAAAGAAGTAGGCCACGAGCTACTGAAAGGAACCAAATCATGTGAGACGTGAGGATTTCACGGTGGCGATGATAAAGTTCTTTGGCTTTCAGCGCCGTGTAGACTCATAGGTAAATGTCATGTTCAACCCTGAAGATGGAGACAGAATGATTGTGATTGATGATAATGATGATGATGCTGTTCATATCAGTTAGAAAATTGGTATCACGCCTTCTACTTTCCAGAACTACAAAAGTCAGAATATACAAAATAATTTTGACACTTGTTTCGAATGGATGAAAATGTGGGTAAAATATTTAAATCTAAGAAGTACAAAGTAAGTGAGCAATCTAAATAACTGCAAATGATGAGACTCAAAAGGTCATACAGAACAGATAGGACAGTAACATAAAGGAAGCTACGATGGGTTGGGCATGTAACTAAGAAGGCGGATAATACAAAAAATGCCCGATTATACCACCTTCGGTCGTTTAGGAACGCTCCATTTTATCGACAGTTATCGACTCAGCGTTTAGCGGAATGAATTACACTCACCGTTCCACGCACTTTCTACTCAGTTGCTCGAATTTCTACTGATCAGACGCTGGCGCGACCTTGATGCAGTGAAAATGATATTTTAAATTGTTAATGGATCTAAAACTAACTGTCTCCTAAAATATTGCGCCACGTAATTGGCCAATCTTCTAGAGGTGCTTACTACCTCCATCATCAGGGCGATGATGGAGGCAGCAATCATCTCTGAAACGTCGGTAAACTTCTACCAGACTACACGACACAGCATCCCAGACGATAGTCACATTCATAGTCGGCGTTATAATAACTTAAAATGTCAGTGAATCTACTTAAGAAACATTGCTGACAAAATTACGAAAAGATGGATACCAGTCTGGTAACGTCATCATTTCGATGTCACAACGCTGTAAATGATCTACCGCTTTGGCAGAAGTACCCTAAGATTCAACGTTCCTAATACAGAAGACCGCCAGTGAACATAACACGAAGGCAGTTCCAACGACATTCCATCCTCAACCCGTCTCCCTAACATCCGTCTTAATGGTATATACTACCACCTCCTTCTCGGTCTTCATAGCTGACTTCTTCTAAGACACTTTCCCAATAAAATTCTAAGACAATTAAGCTGCATTGTCTCCAGCATTGTAGCCAAAATGCCTAACCCTTCAAAACTTCTGTCAATGAGTGGAATTACATGTTCTTGAAGACACCACTGAAATTTTACTGTGCCCCTTCTACGAATGAGTAGGAACTGTATCGTCAAGGATTTTATCAAATTTTATACACGATTCTAACAAAACTACAAAAAGAGAACGAGAGGGAGATAAAAGAGGAGTGGAGAATCTAAGAAAAGTGGAAAGAAGTACGGAACAAAGAGACGAAAAATGTCGCGTCTGAAAGGGCAGCATATACAATTTTAATACAGTTCATCTCACTTTAGTTACTTAAACCAACGACTTTCTTTACATATGCATTCTTCAGTAGTTTCTTTGTTGTTTGTTCTCTTTCAATATAAATTGAAATGCAGCTTTTATGAGCTTCCTACAACGTTTGCCTTTCATATGAATGTGGGAGCTGGTTTCGAAGAGAAAATGTTATGAGAGTTACAGGCCTAACTGCACTTGATACTTAAAACTCTGAAATTCATTTAACTGCAGCGCCAGACATGATCAAAATCTTCATACTTACATAAAGGTCTGAAGAATTTAAAATGGGCATCATTCAGAAATTATATGCGACCTTTTTGACGTAAATACGTCTATAAGGAAGGGTCATTCGACAAAAAAGTGGAACGAAAAAGGGAAACGAAAAAGGGAAACGAAAAAGTGTAACAATGGTTACCTAGGGAACGTCGTGTTTATTCGGCATTGTTGTTACCTAGGAAACGTCATCTGTTTACTCGGCATTATTGTTACCTAGGAAACATTACATTACATCACATTACTCGGTATTTTTGTTACCTAGGAAACGTCATCTGTTTACT